ATCGATCTCCAAAAGAAGAAAAAAGCTAAGGCACAAGGCATATATTATAGGCTCTGGCTAGAGTCGAGCACTTATTGGAACATATGCAAAAATCGATGGATCTACACCCCAGCAGTAAAATTGAAATTTCGGATGACCCGCGGCGGGATTTTGGGCCATTCTCTTAGAACTATTAGAAGGTAATGAGGCTATACTCGTGTGCTCGCAGTTGCGGCGCCTGCACAGAATCTGCATAAATATGCTGCGAACGGTAGTTATCCCTCGAGGTCTATCTTGCTCGTATATCGCGAGCCTGCGGGGCTCGAGGAGCTATACAACGCGACTTTTGGCGCCTGTATACTCGAGATGTGACTTTTTTTCAAAGCACGACCAGCAGGAATCCAGATGCTCGGGATCCTCTTGAATAGGGCTGAAAAATTCCGAAAATATAAAGACAGCTTTTTGCACTGCTTGTAATTATCTTTCGAATACGAAAATTCATCCAGAGTCTCTATAAATTGTCTCTACGACATTGAAACTATAATGTGTAAATTTACTCATTATAATGAGCGTAAAAGTCACTCTTTCAAACTCGAGAAATATAGTCTAATAGAAATTTATAGCAATTAACAGGCATAAAATGTATATCCATGCAATAACTCACCAAAGACTTTCATAGTAGTTTTAATTAGTTGTATTCAGCACCAGGATCGCATGCAAGTTTACTATCCATCTGCGGGCAATCCTCAGCACGTATACAGACTATTGTCAGGTCTATTCATTCGTGGACTCATCAAAACAAATTAAAGCTACAAATTAGAGAGAACAAAGGTCAAAAACAAAAAGATAGGAGAAGCGGAGAAAGGTAGAAGGCCGGTGTTGAGTCCGATTTTTAAGGTTCCCGCCGAAGCAGAGTATAGTGGACATAGGCGGATTTCAATTTACATAAGCCCTCGGGATCGAAAAAGATGCACACGTGCGCCTTTTGCTCTTCACTCTTTTTTTGTCTCGGCAAATTCTCGATCTATATATTCTGCGAGGCAGAGATGCTTCCAAGTTGAAATTAATAATAGTAAACGTTTATTGTAAACATCATGCATAATTGCGCACTGAAAGCAAAAACATTGATTTTCCATTGCAAAATTCTTCTTATTGTTACTGGCAAAATGTTGTTATGTATCGCGAAGAGATTCTCGGAACGCACACTTTCGAATCACAAAAAACGTTCAAACTTGTTGGCGAATTTATTTCAAACATTAAATGCCCATCATAACATTGTCGAAGCGACGATCGCAAAAACGTTTCACTTAAAAATCACCGAGTTATAAGCGGTGCAGGTACAGATGTTTGAGGAATAATTCGCTCGTCAAAAATCAATTTGAAGCACATTAAAAGTCGAAACAACACCCCCGCGCAGCCGATCAAGGACTCATCGCTCTTATAATGCTCGCGTATAATAATAACGTCGAGCGGCGCCTTGCTTATAACGAATCGACATGTCGAGCATGCTTCTATGCTCACGAAAATTTTATGAGCGGTAGCATCCAGAGAGGAAAGAAAAAAAATTTGAGCGGCAGTCGCGGGGCGAATCTGGCCCGTTTTTTTGAAGATCTGCCTGTGTACCATAATCTCTGCCTCGCTCAACACACCGGGTGTAAATATGCATGAAGAAGCCGAAAAACGTTCTTCTGCTAAAGTAACCGCGTGATCTTTCCCCTATCTTGCTCTCGCTCTCTCTCATTCGATTTATTAAATACTTTTATTGGAGTCGGAGAGCAATGCCGAGCACGTCTCAGCTGATGCATTTAGTGTGTATACACTCGATAGAGCTTGATAAAGCTGGCAAAAAACTTGTGGGAATTCGAGCGAATTTTTGCAGAAAGAGCGCAAGAAATTTCATTATCGACGAAACTGACGATTATGGCCAATCGCGCGCGCGGCTTCTTTTTTCGGATCATGTATCTTTCTCTTTCTCTTTCTCTTCTTTGTCGGAACCGCGGCTACTACCACTACGAGATCGCTCTTTTTAAGCGCCACCACCGCGTGCTCGGCTCTCTCGGTAAGATGATCTGATTTTGCGGCACTACACAGTTATAAATGATGCTACTACGCGAGTGAAGAAAAATGTGCAATAAACCGATCGCGCGCGCACACACGCGGTATATTCCACGCGCCGCGCGGCGATTGCTCGACGAATGAAGGTATAAAATTACCAGCCTGCCGTGTTAACATAAAATATTTGCGAGCGTACAAGAGCGCGAGCTCTGGCAGACCCAAATAGAGGAAAACGACGGCCCACCAGTAAATCCTCATTACACCCAAGTTGTGCGCTCGATCGAACCCAGCTTACACCGCACACGAGAGAGAGAGAAAGAGCTGAAATACACAAAGCATAAATAACTGCGCTGCTCAATTTTTTAAAGGCTTCGCGCTTGCTGCCGTCCCAAAGCAGCGCAGCAACACCTGATAAAACGAATAAACGTGCGTGCACAGTTGCTTCATTAAATAACCTCTACACTCGGATATGTATGCATACGAGTTTGAGATTAACAAAAAGACGATTCATGCGAGCGAGCCAACGAACGAGCTGCACTGCCAACTCATCTGCAAGCCGGTGGTGTCTGTGGGTATAAGTACGCGCGTGGGACAAGAAAGGTCTCGTGGCGCGGATTTTTTACTTTCGACACGACCATGGTGCAATTACAAGATGTAATTTAAGTTGCACACGTACACGAGTCAACGGTCTATGCAAACTTAAGGTCCGTTCGTTGTGGCAAATAGAAGCGTGAGAAACTAACTAGCTCAAGCGAGCTGCTTCATGCAGTAGGAGATAGAAATAAACGAACGAATTTGCGAAGAACTTACATTGCTCATACGTGTACTCTAGATTTGTTTATTTAAAAAAAAAATTAATGTATGATGTACTCGAGTTGCTACCGGATTGTATAGTAATAGTTACTCATAGCTGCAAGCTTGATCGCAACCAGCTTTGAAAAAACCTACAAAACTTTATTGGATAATTAAACGAAAATACTTGCAGATTTCATTCAATAAAATAATCAGATTCCGTAGAAAAATTTTATGTAGTACAGTTTATAATAATTCGAATATTACTCATACGTTGCTTGCACATAACAAACATGAAAACATCGCATTATTACCCCGTACTTGCATTAAGTGAGCCGACCCAAAGTCTGATCATTTCTTGGTGATATTTATTTGCACCTGGAGAGAAGTAGCGAGGAGTACGAATACGCGTGTTTCAACACGAAATTAGGCTCTATCCGATGAACGAAAATAAATTTCACACTGCTGCGGGTGTTGCACATACGTCCCACGCTCGTGGTGCCAATTATCCCTCTAGTCAAGCCGCATATTGTTGCCGAGAAACGATAAGAGAATCGAACGGAAAAAAAGATTCGAAGACGCGCGTATTTTTTTACCTATATTGTAGAAACTAACCGGAGGGGTTGTGTGTGCGGGTGTGCGAGCGAATAAATACACGCATTCTCTCGCTTGGCCGTTTTTTTCTTCAATTTCATCGGCTCTCATTATCACGGTTCTCGCTGTTAATTATGTCCTGAAAGCCAATGTATACAAGGTATCAAAACAGATAGAAAGCTCGGACGATTAACAGGGTAGATTGTCTAAGGAGAGGAATTATTTTACTTTTGAATGCAGCATACGCCACCACATGGACGCGCAGCCAGTTTGGCAAGATTTTATCGACTTATTGTCCAGTACAATTTTTTGCCCTGGCATACACACACACACATACACAACCTTTTCAAGTAATTTCTCGTCGCCGATAAATTATTACACGTTCACGAAGCTGTATAACACGTGTTTGTTACCTGCGCGCTGTAAAACGCGTGCACTTTTCCCAAAAACAAAAATACCGACGCGCGCACGTCAAAAATGCGAAGTAATGGACGTGTCTGTGCGCAGAGCACACGTGTGCACGTGTATGTGTGCGAAATCCTTCGTCAAAACACATCCATGCGCCTGAATAGCCGGGCATGAACGCGGCGAGCGAGGCAATAAACTCTTGCTCGCGAAAACACTTTTAATGGGACGCAACAAAAGCACGCAAGACACCTTGCACAAAAAGGGACACATCTCCGAGGGCTCCCGCCAGTCACACATACAAACACATACCACGTGCGTGCATGCCTGAACAGTGCTTTATACATGCAAAACAGGGCGAGAGCGAGAAAGAGAGACCAATAGGCTCACCCCTCGCTTCGTATTGCCCCGCGCGCGTTTGCAAAACACTCGAGAAGATTTGTATTTATTTCACGCGCAATTATATTAATGTTGCACGCGCGTATACACCAGCTGAGAGGCGACCAATTTCGAGGATGTTTGCAGTCGCGTGAGAGGGTGCGAGAGAGGAAGAGTGAGAAAGGGCACTTGGATTGTCTTATAAAGCCGATTATTCTGCGCCACGATTGCACGCGCGCTCGAACGATATACAATGTATTCAAGTTACAGAAAGAGAGACCGCAGCGTACAATGTATGCGGTGATGAAAAGACATCGGAGAGCCATTAGGGAGGCCTACCGTTTGACTTCTGGCTTATTTTGAAACCGAGAAGACATTGCGCCAATGAATTTTGCGTGTAACATTGATGGTATATACTTCATTTGTATAATTGTGTATATTTTTTGTAAAATTATTATCATTGATCTTTTTAGATTTAGAAATTTATTTGAGAATCTACTTACATAAAAAGTGTTGAATCTTAAAATGAAGACGTTTAATACGGTTTCGGATTGGTCGCATCACTTTTGACTCAACCCAAAATGAGATAAAAAATTGCCATAAACTTGAAAGGTTCGACATTTTATTAGCTTTCAAATAAGAATGTGCTTTATTTTTCTACGAAAATTTATTGAATTTACAAAACTTAAACATTTTTTTAACACAATGAGATAAAATTTGAGGAGTAATGTTTTTATAAATCAACATTTTTAAATTAGTCTTCTGAAAAAGTACATTCAATTTTCAATATTCATTAATTAAGTTGTAATACGCGAATTATGCTCCTTATAACTGTGGATTTTAAGACCGCCTTTCTGATTGAATGTCTTTCCGCACACATCGCATAAATGTGTGTTACCATTATGCACTGAGTCAATGTGAATTCTGAGATTACCTTTTTGTGCGAATTTCTTTTCACATAAGTCACACTTATACCTAATACCATTGTGCATTGCATTGATGTGGAGTTGAAGATAATTCTTACACGAGAATGTTTTTCCACATATATCACATACTTGTTTGACACCTTTGTGCACGTAATCGATGTGGGTATTGAGATAGTACTTACTTGTGAATTTTTTACCGCATATATCGCATGGATGTTTAATATCTTTATGTACTGCATCGATATGTATTTTAAGAGTACCCTTTGTTGTGAAATTCTTTCTGCAAATATCACATGCATGCGACGAAGCGCCATTATGCACTGTATCGATGCGTGCTTCGAGGTTATGTTCGTCAGTTCTTCTTTTTCTGTTTTGTTTGACAGTTTCACAGTAGATATTCAAATTTAATTTTTCTGCGACTTCTCCAAAAAATTCCTGTTTCTCTTCTTTCGAGGTTTCCATTTCAACTATGTTTTGAGTATTATAACCATCGTTATTTTGTACATTTTGCAAGTGATATTGAAAATCATCGTCAATTTTTTTCACTACTGACAAATCCATATTGTGTTCGATATCTTCATATTCAAAAGCTGTTTTCATTTCGTTCTCGAGTTCAGCCTCTCGATTTTCGTCCAATTTTCGAAGTGCTTCGATCTGTCGAAGAATAAAATTGATGTAAGAAAATATCATTAAAGAACAACTATACAATACGAGTTATAATTATCAACACTTACAGCATCTTTCAGCGAAATTGATAAGCATTTGACATGTTTAAAATTAGGTTTTTGGTCTATCATATCGCAATCATTTTGAATAAGCGACACATCACCAGATTTCTCTTTCACTCTGAAATAATAATTACAATAAGATCCTGCACTTCATATAAATATTTTTACTATTTCATTCTCGCGAAATGAAAATTACCTGACGACATTGTTGAATAAACCACTAGATTCCATCTTTATCGCTTGGAATTTCGATAGCTACGAATCTTTCTGTAATGATTGAGCGAACTACAAGGGACAAGTGGCGAAAAGCACTGAGAACTGTGTGCTCCTTTTGTTGTTTACATTTTGCGTCGCATGCATGACCTCTTCTTGTGTTGTCCAGCCTGCGGTGTTTTGCCGTGCATGCAGGTAGCACTACGCTGTATACAAAGGTCTCTGTGGAGCTGATTACTCACCAGCAACGCATAGACACAGCTTTTCAAAATATAACTAGCACAGCACTCTTCAGCAGTATTTTCGTGCAGCTAATATTTACAAATTGCGATATGAAATTTTGAAGTCACTTGATTAAATATGTCGTTAAAGAAATAGCATTATGTATCTATATGTCTGATAAATAGCAAACATTTTTCTATTAATGATTATAATAATATTACATATGAATAGAATATTAATAAAGTTCATTATTGTTTTATGTTGCAGAACTATAAATCAGGTATGAAATTACGGAGCGATAATGAAAATAAAATTTGCAATTGAAGGCGAGACAAAATTCTTTGCCTGTGTCTGAGATACACCGGCAGAAGGTAAAAAAATAAACTTGAACCTTTTAATTAAAAGCTGTCACTTTTCATATCTGCAACTGTAGTGAAGACATTGCACGTAAGCTAAAGATACGGCATAAAATGTTTTAAATATAGCGTCTTTGCTGCGAGAAGTGCAGTCGGGGAAAAAAGTCTCTTTGACTTTCGACGTGAGCCGACATGAATTTTTTTTAAAGAGCCCGCGTTTTTGCAGCGGCACGTGAAATGTGCAGACCAACTATCTCGACCGAAGCTACGATTTTAACACTTTTGATATTCATGTCAGTGAGTTGCATTCATTGTGTAAAAATATACATTTGAATTTAAATAGAAATTTAACAAATCTTGAGAAACGCATACATAAATATATTTGTTTGCATCAAATTATCTTTTGTTGCATTTCAATGTGTTTCTGTTTTATCTGGCTTATTTGGAAATTTTAACATCACAGATGGTATTTTTTAGCGATTTCATACAAATTCTTTCATGTTCGACCACCTCAGAGATTTCTATGGCCATTATCACCTTCTTTGATTGATCTGTTTACATCCTTTGAAAAAGTTTAACAAGTTGAAAATGTTGCATGCTACTTCATCTACACATGCAATGTTTTTGATTTTACAGATACAGCTAAATTGAATTAACAATTCTAAAAGACTCTTAAAGAGTATAGCGCTTGCATGGTAATTTTAACTTGAAGCGCACGTGGAGCTCTATGTATTATTCAAATTTTTCGGTACATCGACAAAACATCTGTTGTTTTGCTGTGCTCGACGTTGAAAATTAGTTACGGCAAGTAGTTTTTTTGAGTCGGCACAAATTTTAATACACACGTGCACGCAGCAGCCGAGTACTTACGTGTTCATAATCGTTTCGCTCGAACGGAATAAACAATTTTCAAGCTAGCGGCATTTCTCTTGTCAATATAAGGGAGAAGATCAAAAGAGGGATCGAGAATGAGATGAGGAAGGATGCGCTGAAAGAAACTCACTAAAGACAGGTTAGAAGTAGCGAATAAAAGAGGGAACGAGAAGAGCGAGAGGGAGAGAGAGCAAGAAAAAGTGAGTTGCGCGTGGCCACCACGCGACCGACGCACTCTCCTGGAAATTACAAGCCGAAATCCTTTCGCGAGTGCGCGTGCAAGCGAGTTTCAACGACGTAAGAAAAAGTTTCGTATACGCTGAATTTTTTACAAGATTTCGCGGACGATAGTCGGCAAGATTCGAGGAAATCTCTAAAGTCGACAAAGTGTAAACAACCGTCGTTGCTCGTGAATGCCACCGATCGTTTTTTCTCCCTCTGGACAACCAAACTCTGTATTGACAAAATTAGGTTTTATTTCAAGTAAAGTATCTTCATTATCAATGTAAAGAATCAATAATAAAGACGAAGCGTTTTAAGCATTTCTTTTAAAAAACAAGAGGTTGAGAAAATTCAATATAGTTTAGAATTATTAGGTGAAATAAAAACCCGCTGCTTACACTTAATCGCGTGGAAGCTCACCGCTGTAAAGGCGAGTAAACACAGCGCTCCAAAAGCTCTGTAACTGAAGTGTCCATGATCCGTACGATTATCGCGCTCGCTCCAATTTTGAATATTAACTAACCATAACCAATGCTCCCAAAGATTTTTTGCTTCAAAAAAATGTCAACGAAAGTAAACTGCAAAACAAAATCTCTTAGTTTGACTATTAATTAAATGAATCAGATATTTTTTGGTAAATTATTGTTCATTTCTTCTCACTTATAAATGTAATAACGTAAAGCGTTGAGGATTCTTGATAACTTACTGTAGTTTCTAGATATCAAAATAACTTCTTTGTGATTTAAAGCAACGAAAAGTCTCTAAAGAAAAATATTTAACTCCTTCGATACTCGTGCCAAAATGTGTGCTTACAATCGTATTCGAAACAATATCATAAGTCTCCACGTCAATTGATCCAATTATTCAGAGAGGTTCAAATAATAATGATTAACCTGACCGTAACAGGTGTGAAATAAATACGCGAAAAAATATTTGCAATCTCTTTAATATACCGAGAACACATCAATTTCAAGTGCCACAATACTAGTGCACGAAAATAGATGATTTTTGTGGGCATCATAATAAGTATAACATTGCAGGCATCATAATAAGTATAACATGCAGGGCCAACGCGATTCGCTGTTGTTAGAGACACTCTAATTAGAACTATCGATATTTCCTTTGAAACGTCCGTATATATCTAACCGGGATGAGTTGGAATTCAGATAGTGTGTATTTTTCTCATTGACGATGATGACGCGTTAATGTGTGTAACCTACTTGCTGCAACGGGCACGTGTCGACTCGTGGCAAAAATTTGCCGTAATAAGCGCGCATACACCTGCATATACTTGGGATCCGCCACGTACAGTAGTTTCACACTTTACATTAAAATACACGAAATTCGCGAATTTAATAATATCGCGAAAATTGCTCGTAAAAGCAAAATAAGCATGTTCACGCCCGGTGAAAACATTAACGCTCTTGTGTATAATGCTCAACTTTTCTGGTACACACTTTGTACGAGGTGAACCTACTGAAGAACCGAAACGATCGATTCGATTACAAAGTATCCGATTAATGAAATGGGTTTGAATTTGGGCGCTTGAATTAAATGATTAGCACTAATAGTATATTACTGCCTCGGTATTTGTTGCTCAAACGTACAAGTAAGACGAGAAAAGTATCTACGAAAAAAATGAGAGAAAAAATTTATTTCCATTAAAATGAATTTTTATAAATTGGGTAAAACTGCCAGTAATCAGAAGATGACCAGTAACCCTAGGATTTAAAACATATTGATTTGAATAAAAACACAAAATTCTATTCATTGCAAGTTATCATAAAAAATTTGATCGAAAATCTGTTAGAACGTAAAAATTAAAGTTTTACAAAATACTAGGGTTCGATAATAAGACAAAAGTTGACATTTTGAATTCTGAGTATGGGACACTTCGATACTTCGTTTTTTTTAAATATTCTAGTTTTTTTAAATTTCTCATCATTCTCTTGAAGTTGACATATCTAATACTTTTCACGTTATAAATCAAGCTTGAAGATTGACCGCTAGGTGTCGCATCCTGCGAAAGTCGCTTCCGCAAGTAGTAAACCAATTTTAGAGAAGTATTTAGAGTGACTTTTTTTAGTTATACCTAAAAAAAGTGTCCGGAACCTCATCTGGAAGCAAATGAAAGGAGTGTTCAACGTCTTCAGGAGGAACGAAGGCAAGAGCCAATAGCATATGCGTGTGGATTCTGAATTCACGATTATTAGGATCGTTATACAAATCTTGAAGTTTTTTTGGCGATGATTAATTGTATTATTCGATGGAAAATAATATTAGTTCAAAAATAGGTTTGTTTCGCCATTGGCCTTGAAAAATCTTAAATTATTGATCAAAGTTCACTTCAAAAACCCTTTGAATTTCTCAAGTATACAGCGCTCATTAGAGCCTCGAAGATCATTCAAATAAAAAATCATGTTTTCTTCTCGCTATTTATATTTTATCCATAGTTCGAGCTTGTTCACGCGCGCAGCACACGTCCGATTCAAGCTGCAATTTACTTTTCTTATTAACCATTGCATTACAAGGTGCAGTGGAGGAACTATCTCAGCCGACTCGACTCGTCGAGCGCTCTCTCTCGCGTCCAAAGGATAATTCGGGTTATTACAGGCCCAAAGGGTGTGAAGAGAGGACTGATGCCGGCCTGCAAAGCAACGCAACACACAGCTCACCCTATTCGTTTAATATTTCTGTCAGGCGCGTCTCTTCTTAGCGCGAGAGAGGAGAACTCGCACGCACTCGTTACTGCACGCGCACAAGAGATACCCGCACGTGTATATACCTATACACTTGCGTTCGCAAGCGATATTTTAGTGTATATTATAATAAGCCGATAATAAGGCGTGTAATGACTGCGGCGGTAGCAGGCCAACACATCTTATAAAAGCGGAGAGGCCGCGTGTGTGCGCGCGCGCTGAATGTTCCTAAAAAGCAGCAGCAGCTCTAATTACGGATATCGCCTTCAGCGTAGCAGCAGCAGCAGCAGCGGCTTCAAGTGCGAATTAAAGCTGTAACGAGAATTCCACGCTGCTTGTATACAGGTTGCGCGCATCCCCGAGTCGAGCTCGACTTTTGCAGCAGCGGTGGCATAATATACGACAATTTTTACGAAGAGCAAAAAAATGTTGCACCTTACCGATATGCGCGGCGACTGAAATTGATTCTTAAACCTCTGCGCGCGGTGATATGCATTAGCACGAATTATACGCAATTTTACGCGCTTTTAATCGTTTTCGATCGACTGAGATAAGTTATAATATGCGTGACACTTGCCCATATATCTCCTCGGAATATCAATGTGACACTCTTAATTAGCCGATATTAACTGCAAATATTAAAATGCAAAAGACTGGAATATTTTTCTCAAAATATAACAATCGCCCAGCTAAATCTAGGTTGGTG